ATCTATCCTAACAGACTGACAAAGAATCATTTATGGCTGCTGTGATGATTTTAGTTGGCCCAGCTTCTGGAAAGTGATGCTACAAGCATTTAGTGGGCAGGGACAAGGCATAAGGGATGTCCTGCAAGGACAAGGCTGTACTGCAGAGAATTGCTTCCCGTCTCACATGTTCCTCTGAACATTCAGGTACTAAATGACGGCCTCAAAATGGGCTGCAATTTCAAGAACCAAAACAATAGACAGGACTCAGTGGCTCACTCCGGTAATCCCAGCCCTCTGGAAGCCAAGGCAGGGAGATCACCTGAGCTCTTGGGTTTGAGACCAGCCTAAACTAGAGTGAGATCCTATCTCTAAAAATAGCTGGGCATTTTGGTGGGCACCTGTAGTCCCAGCTACTCTGGAGGCTGAGGCAAGAGAATTGTTTGAGGGTGCTGTTGAGCTATGATGGCACAGTACTGTATTGGGGGGCGACAAAGTGAGTACAAGATACATATATATATATATATATTTGTAACACTGGGACTCTATCCAGTCACATGTCACAATACTAGGAATAACTGTGACACTACTTTTTAGAAATCCCTACTTGGGGGAAGGGGAGAGGATGATTGGCAGAAGGAGGGAGGGCATGAGGCAGAAACTCACCTAATTGCACATTGTGGGGGTGTATATCGTTGGGCAAGGGGCTCTTTTACAACTGGAACTTTACTCTAGAAGTTAGAACAATGTAGCCTAGAAATTTGTACCTTCATATTAATTTGAAATTTTAAAAAATGAAAAAAATTCCCTACTTAAAGGATGTTTCCTTCGTTCCCTTATCATGTACAAGGCAGTCAGGTCTGTTCTCACTGCTAGTTGCTATTCTAGGGCACACACATTCTCTGCCCTTTCAGTTTCCTGTACTTTTTATACAGAGTGGTTTCAGACTTTTCTTTCCTTAAGTCAAGACTGATTAAATATAAGGAGATAGAAGCATCTGATTGCTTCATTATACCTTTCAGGGCAGTGGTGCCCAAGCATTTGCACACTGAAATATATATTTGATTAGAAATCATTTTCCTAAGTAGAATACAAATATCTTAACACAATAACTAAGAAAATGACGTGAAGGCTATGTTAACCAGTTTGATGAAAACATTTCAAATTGTATGTGAAAACACCACACTGTACCCCATGATTGCATTAATGTACACAGCTGTCATTTAATAATTAAAAAAAGAGAGAAATCATTTTCCTTTATGTTAAGCCATTATATTGATTTTTTCAGTTAAATATATAGATAGGATCTATATGTATGTATATGTATACACACGCACACTTTTTTCAGAGTAAATCTCTAGATAATAAATTTACTTAATATTTTAATGTTTGTTATAAAAAGGGGGCACTGGGGCTGATATACTTGAGAACCACAGTGTGGTCTCAGAAAAATGTAATCCCTGCCTGGCCAAGATCACTATATGAGCTGAGATTTATTGAGTGTCACTTGTATGCAATTGTTACAACTCCCATGTTACACATAAGGAAACCAACTTCTGAGCCGTGAAATGGCTCTCTCACGGTAAGTGCTGAGCCACATACACCACCCTGTAGCCTGGCTCCACGGCCCATGAGGAAAACCTAGCTGGCCTGACTGGGAAGACCGGAGTGCAGAAGGTGTAACACAGGGCAGCCTCTGTGCCAGAAAGGGCTCCTGCCCACAGCGATTCTAAGATGTCTAAACTGGATGCCAACATAGAACATGTGGGAAATGTCGTTACATCTACATTCCCGGCTTGTCTTGAAAAATCAGAAGCTCTGGCCACAGAGGACCCTCATCCCTACGTGGCAGTTGAAGTAGATAGTTTGCAAAAAATGGCAGCAGTTGTTCCCCTCCCTGTCTGCTCGACCCTTTGATGTGAATTTGAAGCTCCTCTCAACCAAGAAATGGAGTCTGTTTCCCCACCCTTTGAGTCTGGGATGGCCGTAATACCAGATTTCAGAGACAGCCAATATCATCAAAGATGACCCGCAAGTGATTCCAAATACCAGACAGCGCTCAGATAGGACCTGAAGAATCCTTTACTAGCCCAGCTAAATTGCTACTATGCAGAAATGTAAACTAAATGTTTGGTTTCAGCTACTATGTTCGGGGGTAGTTTGTTATCTAGCAAAAGCTACTTGTTAACACAGCACCAATCAGCCAAGGCTGCAGTGCAGCTGTGTTCTACACAGACTCTGTTGTCTCCGCTTTGCCACATCTGGCACCTTGCTTCCCTTGTTTCCATAATCAGCCTTACTCTGCAGAGATGTATTTAATGACCCTTGCAAAAGCCTAAGTTTGTATGACCCTTGAAGGGATGAATCAAAGAGGAAAATGGGTATAGCTTCTTTGAAGGCAGACAAGAGCTAGAATACAGGTTATGAAAAGAAGACTTTGGAGGAAATTGAAGGGTGAGGCAAAGATAAGGAAGGGGGAGGGGAGGTAGAAGGAGGCCACATGGACTTACATCTTCAAAGACCTAGGTCTATACTGTCTGTCTCTTACGCATAGAAGGAATGTCTGAGTAAGATAATAATAATAGCTAGGATGATGATAATAATCTCTTCTCTTACTATACTACTCAGATTTCCAGAAAATAACCTTCATCTACTTCCATTTGCTGAGCTTGTTTTGAGACACATCAGAGAGGTAAGAGGTCAATGTTAAGGTTACGAAAGGCACATCTCATATGTGAGCATGCAAAGCCAATCATCATACTTAAGAACTACAAAAGGATCACACATTTTTAAAATAAGAAAACAGAAAAATGCACAGGAAAGGACATGCACAGGATTCTTAACTATACAAAAAGATGGCCAGCTTTAATCATAATAAGATAAATGCAAAATGAAACCATATTGAGACACTGTCTTTCATCTATCCCAGTGGCAAATATTCTAGTTTGATAGCACACACCACCAGTGAGGCTGTGTTGTTGCTGGAACATGAATTGCCATAGTCTTTACAGAGGGAAATTGTACATACAAAGTTTACCAATATTATCAACACATATTTCCTTTGACCTAGCAATTCTGCTTCTGGAAATTCACCTTACAGATATATGTGCACCGAAGTAAAATGGCATATCACAAATAATCATGGCAGCACTATTTGCAATATAAAAACAGGCTGGATGCAGTGAGTTACACCTGTAATCCCAGCATTTTGGGAGGCCAAGGTGGGAGGATTGCTTGAAGCCAGGAGTTTCAGGCAGACTGAGCAAGAGTGAGATTCCATTCTACAAAAATCAGAAAACTTAGCTGGGCATGATATCACATGCCTGCACTCTCAGCTACTCACTCAGGAGGTTGAGGCAGGAAAATCATTTGAGAGCCTAGGAGTGTGAGGTTGTAGTGAGCTATGGTGATGCCATTGTACTCTAGCCCAGGAGAGTGAGATTCTGTCTCAAAAGAAAAGAAGAAAGAAAGAAAGGGAGGCAGGGAGGAAGGAAGATAGGAGGCGGAGAGGGAGGAAGGAAGGAAGGAAAGAAGGAAAGAAGCAAGGAAGGAAAGAAGGCAGGCAGGCTAATCAATAGAGGCCAGTTAAATAAACTGTAACAACCACCTGGTACCATAGTATGCAACTATTCAAAAGATTGTGAATACTACATGTTGAAATGGAAAGACCTGTAAGATTAGGAAATACAAAGATAGAGATAGAGACAGAGATAGAGACAGACACAAACATATAAGTAAAACTTAAAAAGTAGAAATTTTCATTTATAAGATGGGTAAATAAGAGTACATATTTGTAATTGTTTGTATATGCAAAAAGGAACTCTGCAAAGATGCATAAGAAATTTAAGGGCTAGGCATGGTGGCTCATGCCTG